ACCGGCTAGAAACTGAATATGGAATTTACTTAGTATCAACATTTGAATTTAAAATTAATTTTCCAGAGGAATTAACTCTTAGTCAGAAAATATTAAATATCGAAATGGGCTTCCACCAGAAATAAAGCTGTAATTGCTAAATGACTATCAAGGATTAATTACAATTTTGCCGTATCGAAAGCCCATTGTGCGCAAATGTTAGTATCGACGAAAATCTCTTATCTTAGAACTCTACCCTCAGCCTTACTGAGCTCAGAAGGGTGCTGCTCCCATAAAACCTCTAATCAGATACAAAACCGCATGGCATACCAAATGTACGAGATCAAAATTAATGTTTGACACAGATCGGATAATTCGATTACTAAAAATCGTAATTAACAAAAAGCAATAATTTAAATGACTTTAAAAAGCAAAAGCTAAATTTTGATTTGAAAACGAGTTGTCGATAACATGTACGGCAACTGCAATGTACAAGAATAAATGTAACGTAATTTCAAGAACCTAATTTACAATTTAAAAGAAACTAAATTTTTTGAATGAATTCTTCGTAACGACAAAAATTAATATATACAGATATATATACATAAAATCCAAAATGTCGGTGTCGAAACGGTCTCATAAGTTATATCGAAGCAGTTCACAGTTAACAATAATCTCCAAAAAGGATCCTTGTAGTTAAATAGGGCACAATGGCCCATATGAATAAAAAGGAGCATATGCTTATACTTGCAAAATTCAAAGTAAATACTCGTAAGTGCTCCTTCACACTGGGGGACTTAGCAGCGCTGATGAGGAGCAGGATAGGATCCAGTGCAGCGCTGCTAAACACACCAGTATGAAGGGGCACTTACGAGTATTTACTTTGAATTTTGCAAGTATAAGCATATGCTCCTTTTTATTCATACGGACCATTAAGTAAATCTTCCAAGTATAATAATGTCTATTTACTGTCACTGCCAATGTCAAGGTGGCGGGTTCAAGGAAAGGAAAATCAATCAAGAAAGATACTTTGCGTGAGCTCTAGCGGCGGAATAAAGGAACTACGAAGTGCACTCTATACGAGTAAAGGTGTCGTAGAAAGTATCAAATGAATATTTAACTGGTAAAACATATGTTGAATTAAACGGAAGTAAAAAAACGACTTATTTGAATTGTCCATAAAGAAATCCAACTCATACCGCACCACGAACTCTGGCCATAGATCCACACTCCCGTTTTAGTATTTTACCCCGATCTGAGCGACCCTCATGACTGAGAACATGTTACCTCCGCCCAGTCTCACGATAATTCCCAACAAGACGATGAAATGTTCGGCATCGATGTTACAGTTTGCTTTCTGACTTTAGGCTTCCAGCAGAATGAAGCGATAGGTAGCATTCTTTTAAGCTGCCTCTTACCAAAGACCACACAGATGCTTCCTGAAAAAAAATTCACGACATTAACAACAAGAAATGAAATCCCCATTTGATATACTGACCTATTATCTATTAAACAGACGACCTTTGCATCTTTCTCATCTCTCATTAACGTTTTTTCTATTCTTGACACTTCGGTTTTCCATGTTGTGACTGAGATACTGTGACATGACATCTGTCACATTATGCCGCCATTGGGGCTGAATAATCTTATACTCGGTCAGTAGATCCAATAAATCCGAGATGAAACACTAATTTTGTTGACGGGTGCATGATTCTTGATACTAAATTTAAATAGGTTAGAATGTAAACGCCAGTTATGATTTGCCAGAATCTTCAAAAGCTAGTAATTGTAAGTAATGCCATTATTATAGTCATGTACCGTAATCGTTTTGCTTCCAGACTAGGTATATGTCGGGTTTAAATTGCGTACTCCTCTCCCCCGATAGAGATACCGTCAATGCGAAGGTATTTATAGTACTTGTTCCGAACGGTTATTATGAATTAAAATTTTCAACGGTTATTGGCCAGCTTATACAAGTTAGTCATACGAAAATATTTTGTAATTGGCGCTCTTCCAGATTACTTCAAAACTAAAGCAAGGTCTCAAGGTTTGCATTTTTTCCACACTAAACTCAATGAATTAAACTCATTAAATGACGTGACGTTTGAATTATTCAGGTAACTTAATCACATTTTAAACTTCCCATCAATATTTTTATAACTAAAGAATTGTGTAACAATTTCGGTTAACCCAGTTAAAGTTGGCATGAAGCCTTCGATGACCCAATTTTAATTATATATTTTTGTTATTCCACTGCGAGCATAGGAAATATTGTCTTTTATTATTTCACTACCAACCGCCGCCGCTGCCGTGTACTTTTCGTCAAAAGCCAGCTAAGGTCAAATTCTACCAGAAATAGACGGCTTGTGTAACGTCGCGAATTTTGTCGGTGTAATTAATTTCCAAATTTCACTTTTAAATTCAAGCATTCCTGGTCTATTTACTTTTAATGTTTGTCGAATCCATCAAACGAATTAGAAATGACATATGTATTTAGATTTTAGCTGCAAGCGTAGGAAAATCGGCACGTTATATTTGTTTTAATGTTTGCTTAAAAATTGAAATTACAAAATGTAGTTCTCATTTCATTTTGGCACTGTTTTCCGACCTAATTTTTTAGATTAAAATTCATTCTGAAAATTCCAATATAGCCACACCACAGCTATGAGAATGCAAGTGTTTAACAAAATAGGATCTCAGATTTCACATTGCATTGTTTCACAAGGGGAGCAATAATAAAAGTGTGTAACAATAGCCTTTAACTAGAGGAACACGTCCTGCCTCATGCTTAACATAATTAAATTGCGTGATGTAGTACATATTTAATTATAGTTTGGTTTTTTATATCTCACAATTGGAATTTCGTTCTCGCAATGTAGGTACTAATTTTGCTACGTTTTGTCTATTGTATGTAGGTATTATCAAACATTACAACATACGAATCTTTTTTTCCAATAAATACTTTGGTGTAGCATGTCAAATGATGCTTTTTATATTAATTGAACTATTCCACCTAATCGGCTTAATAGCTGGTGTCAAAGCAAAATCAAAATAACAGATTTTTGTATCCACAGTGTCTCTTTTGATGCGGTGATTATTTTTCTAAAATTGTTCGCATATTCTAAGTTGAAAATGATCATAGGTGTTTTCTCACATACCACCTGTTTCTAACCCTCGATTGTTACTAAACGATTACTCAGAGCACTAAACACCCCTGTCCAGTACCATCTCATCTTCCGGAAGTTAATTCACTGGATTCATCGAATAGACCATCAAAAATGGAGACCGTTACATGACAATGGGTTTAGATGCACTATGGAGGGTCTGAGGAAAATTGGGTACCCAAGTCGCTCCCAGATAGTGGGAACAACTTTAGCGTCGGTTTGGGATTAATTACATGGAATAATTCCAATGCAGTGGCTAAGTACAACGATAATTACGCGGTGAATCTATAGAAAAATAGAAGTCCTCCGGAAAGAGTAGTTCAAGAAGTTTTTGGGTGTAAGGTAACTTCCCCACCCCCTCATTTCGAGATCTACAAGCGTGGAGTGCCACCAAAGTACATGATACCGTCTCCTTGTCCATCGCAACATATAATGCGGAAACTCTTCTATTGTCTTCTTCGTTTAAATTTTGTTTTAGATTGACACACATATTACACAACCCATTCGTATCCAACCCAAATTCAAAGCCAAACTAACACTTACACAATAAATAATACAAATTAATTAAATTGCTAAGATATTTCGAAGACGAGTTCCTCAAGAGGTCGATCTTTTCTGAACGTGAACATTCCTTGAGGTGAGTTTCCTGACGAAAAAATATTCCAGTGGAAGCGAATTCTAAAGCATTTTTTCGAACCCTCATAATTTTGGGGTAAAGATTTTGGGAGGAATGTTGGGAACATTTTTACAAAATCAAAAAGAGCATACGGTCTATTTAAATCCGTAACTTCCTCCTTTTATCTATTACGGTTGGCGAAAAAAAGAAGGAACGCAAATGTTGGAACATTTGGGGGCGTATCTCGCAAAGGATGCGTTTTTAGACTGTTGGTTTATAGGGAAAAAGCTTGTTGTGGTTTGCTCTTCTAACGGGAAGCGGAAAAGGTAGGTACCTCAATTTTATTTACGAAACGAGGCCGAATGTAGTCCCCCATAACATCATTTCCTAGTAAAAAAGGGATATTTTTCATTTCATTCATTGTTTATAGCGATTAATTTACAATGACTCATAGGAAGGTGTCTGGCCACAATATAATGACCCCGTAATTAGATAAACTGTTAGACAGCCGGGTAAACAAAATTGTTAAAATAAACTGGATATTGAGGAATGTTGAAATACGTTGTATGTGACCATAACCTCGCGATTGCTTCTCCAAATCGTTTATACAAATCTCAGTGTATTCTTTGTTTTATATCTGCATTCCACTAGGTATTGTCACCGGCGTGGTAAATGATTCATATTGATTATTATGAAAGAATTTCTCTTTTATGTGGTATTGCAGTCATTCAAATGTCCATGAAGGCAAAGGGAATGTTTCATAGAATAAAAGAAATTGAGTAATTTATGAAGATAAGATAGAAAATGTCCTTGCAAACGCATAATTGTAGATTGAAACAATGTGAAACTAATTTTGCCAAATCACTTTTCTTTTGTAGAGGACTCAATAATTGCAAACTTTTTACGAAGCAATTTGTACCCATAGTTTTCTACAAGTTGTGTATGAAAGAGAACACTTGGCACAAGTTTTCTTGTTATTTGGATTCTCTCAAAAGTAATCTATTCGCCATTCATAAAAATGTTTTAATTAGAAACACAAGCGTCATACTTTTGTAATCAAAGCTTTTAAAATTCCCACATACATGTATAAGCGTTGAATTAAAAAATGTTGTATATATATTTTAGTTTTCTTTGAACTCGGTCTTCAAAAAGATCTTCATTGACTGACATGGTCCATGAATAATTAGTACTTTAAGACCAAAAAGAATTTCACTATAGTAACCTACTCATTTTATTTTCAGACTTTCACTGCTTGGTGCAACAGTCATCTACGTAAAGCCGGCACAGCCATCGACAACATAGAAGATGATTTCCGTAATGGTCTTAAGCTCATGCTCTTGCTGGAGGTCATTTCTGGCGAGACACTACCCAAGCCCGACCGCGGTAAAATGCGGTTTCACAAAATTGCTAACGTCAACAAGGCGCTGGATTTCATCGCCAGCAAAGGCGTGAAACTTGTATCAATTGGTGCGGAAGGTAAGCGAATCAGATACAATCTAAAATTTCAACCGTTAACTGGTGGTTATCGATAGAAATTGTGGACGGTAATCTGAAAATGACGTTGGGCATGATTTGGACCATCATTCTTCGATTCGCCATTCAGGACATCTCGGTTGAAGAAATGACGGCGAAGGAGGGATTACTGCTATGGTGCCAACGTAAAACGGCGCCGTACAAGAATGTCAACGTTCAAAACTTCCATCTCTCGTTCAAGGACGGTTTGGCGTTCTGCGCGCTTATCCATCGTCATCGTCCAGATCTCATCGATTACAATAAACTTTCGAAAGATAATCCTATGGAGAACCTGAACACTGCCTTTGACGTGGCCGAGAAGTATCTCGACATTCCTAGGATGTTAGATCCTGACGGTACGTTCAGTTTACCACTTCTTCACATCAGTTTTGTCACAAACGAAACACGGAAATGGAGACGATAATTGTGTAAAAAATATGAATGTGGGTCAATATTTGCAGATTTAATCAACACTCCTAAGCCCGATGAGCGTGCTATCATGACATACGTTTCTTGTTATTATCATGCTTTCCAAGGGGCTCAACAGGTATCATTCGTTGCAGTGTTGCTCCTTTTTAACAAATTTGTATTATTTAAACGCTGTATGATTTAAATGGCTCAATGATTGTTATTTTGTTTGTTTTACGTGCTACACTTTGATTTAACTAAACTACACATTGCTTCAAACTGTACTTGCGTAAATTCTTAATATCCCAAAGTTTTATTGTTGTGTTGGGTGGCATCAAAATGAAACTAAAAAGATTTTCAAAAATTTCACGAAATTCAATTCTTCCATCCATATCAACACAAGCAATCCAAAATTGGCATCGCGCTTTGTGGTATAGATTCGAACACTGATATTGTAGGTACTTATAAACATTATAAACTTTATGCAAGTACAGTTACAAGTTTTTACCTTAGCGAGGCGATTTTTTTAAAATTCTGAAACATATTTGTGCAGTGATTTTTGAATTAACTAATTTTAACAATATTTGTAATTTTTGTTGTTTTAACCGTGTTGTTTGCATGCAGACTTACAGAATACTGCTATGCCGGATGAACGTGCTGTAATGACCTATGTGTCTTCCTACTACCATTGCTTCTCAGGTGCACAAAAGGTGATTTTTTTTATTAACATCAATAATAGCATGTGCCAAATTAAACAGATCGTAGAGAATATAACACTTCGTGTTTTAGGCCGAAACCGCAGCCAACAGAATTTGCAAGGTCTTGAAAGTCAACCAGGAGAACGAGCGGCTTATGGAGGAATACGAGCGACTTGCTAGTGATGTGAGTTGGCAACTGCAGGTGGCGCTCCTAATATTTTCTGTTGTAGTTACTTGAATGGATCCGACGTACTATGCCTTGGCTAAATTCTCGCCAAACAGACAATTCATTGGCCGGCTGTCAAAGGAAGTTAGAAGAATATCGTACATACAGGCGTAAGCACAAACCACCACGTGTTGAGCAAAAAGCGAAATTAGAAACAAACTTTAATACTCTTCAAACGAAATTGCGTTTATCTAATCGACCTGCCTACATGCCCACGGAAGGAAAAATGGTTTCGGTGGGTATCTGTTTCATTAATTGTTCTCCACTGATTAAGCCGCTTTAGGACATTGCAAACGCATGGAAAGGCCTGGAAACTGCAGAAAAGGCGTTCGAAGAATGGCTACTGTCTGAGATGATGCGTCTTGAGCGGCTAGAGCATCTAGCTGAGAAGTTCAGACGCAAAGCGGACGCCCACGAAGAGTGGACACGAGGAAAGGAAGAAATGTTACAAAGTCAAGACTTTAGGCAGTGTCGATTAAACGAGTTAAAGGCACTTAAGAAGAAACATGAAGCTTTTGAATCTGATTTGGCTGCGCATCAGGACCGCGTCGAGCAAATTGCCGCCATAGCTCAGGAACTCAAGTGAGTATCACTCAGTGTTTCTAAATGATGTACTAAACTGTTCTTGCAGTACTCTGGACTATCATGACAGTGTAAGCGTGAACGCTCGTTGCCAAAGAATATGCGACCAATGGGATAGGCTCGGAGCGTTAACTCAGCGCCGTCGTCAAGCCCTCGATGACGCCGAAAGAATATTGGAAAAGATCGACATCTTGCATCTGGAGTTTGCGAAACGCGCCGCGCCATTTAATAACTGGTTGGATGGCACCCGCGAAGATTTGGTTGACATTTTCATTGTGCATACCGTCGAAGAAATTCAAGGTTTGATCGACGCTCATGCTCACTTTAAGGTATTGATTTCGTTACGCGCGAAAGTGAAGTTCACAAAGCATTGTAGGCAACTCTGGGAGAAGCAGACAAAGAATATCAAACTATCGTAGGATTGGTAAGGGAAGTGGAAGCCATTGTCAAACAGCACCAAATACCCGGAGGTTTAGAAAATCCCTACACTACCTTAACCGCACATGTAAGATCTACTTATTTACTTATTTTTTATTAGGAGAGAATGAGTACGAAAAGGGTGAACGTGTTACGTTATTATTATTTTAAAACTTATGATTTTCATTATGTTTGGCTGCCAAGGAAGGAATCACTGGTAGTCTCGAGGTAAAATCAAGCCACTCGAAGTTACTTTTATTTAGCCTAACACAAGTGTGAATTTAACTTCCATGGTGCCTTTTTTAGGATTTAACAAGAAAATGGTCGGACGTTAGACAACTGGTGCCACAACGTGACGCTACACTGCAAGCTGAATTACGAAAACAACAAAGTATCCTTTTCTACAACGCAGTTTATACATCTCATAATTTAAATAAACAAGCTCACACGAAAGATAAAATTTAAACAACAAATTAAGTTCAGTTCAGTTCGATAGTTTGGACCTGGCTCGAACCATGCTCATGCTCGCGGCGGGGTTTGGCTTGTGGTTCAGTTTGATAATGGGGGACCCGGCTTTACCTTTATGCTACCCCATATTAATAGTCTTCTAATATCTATTATCGATTCTTCTTTTAACTGTCCACAAACGTTATCTCACGGAGTATTGACGAAATTAAAATATTTTATCTTTTAATTTTATCTGCAGCCTTTCCGAGCTCAGAAGGGTGCTGTCTGCCAATCTGAAATCAGAAAGAACACAAACAAAAAGAGAGAATGAATATAATTGATAATGTTAACCTTCAATGCGTAGTCCCAATAAATTTAAAGAATTTCAAGACCGCCCTGCCATTGTAACATTGTCAGGGTGCTCACTATTACGAGGTCGTTGATTTATGGACTGAAATTGTGAGTGTTCCTATGAAAGTTGTGACAATCCTCTGCATTCTCTCATACTGCAAGAGTGTACCTTAATGGCCCTTTTTGAATGATCGCAGTCTAACATCCATCCCATTTGGCATGCTTCACCTGGTATTTGTAGTGAGGTGAGTCTGGGTAGCAAAGAGTTGTCTTGAGGTTAACCTTAGCTGATGCATTCATTGGCATTTGTGATTTTTAACATTTTTACAGAAAAAACATTCTGTTGAGGGTAGGTTTCCATCAATTTTATTTACTGTAGATACTAAGTCTGAAGGACGGCCCTAATTCTCAACAACAGTTAGTAAGACTTGCACAGGACTTGTTAAAAAAACAGTAGATGTCACTATTGGAACAGTTTGTCTGCGTATTCTGAATTACAATTTTCCTTAACCAGAATTTTAAGATAATGAAATGTTACGTCGCCAATTCGCTGAAAAGGCCAACGCAGTTGGTCCATGGATTGAACGTCAATTGGACGCCGTAACCGCAATAGGAATGGGCTTGCATGGCACCCTCGAAGATCAATTACATCGTTTGAAGGAATACGAACAGGGAGTTTATGCTTACAAACCACATATCGAAGAACTAGAAAAGATCCATCAAGCAGTCCAAGAAAGCATGATCTTTGAAAATAGGTAACTACTACCACAGTGCACTATAAAATTGTATGTACACGCTTTACTTTTAGGTACACACAATACACAATGGATACATTGAGAGTTGGATGGGAACAATTATTAACATCAATTAATCGTAACATTAATGAAGTCGAAAATCAAATTCTTACCAGAGACTCTAAAGGAATTACACAACAGCAGCTCAACGAATTTAGATCATCATTTAATCATTTCGATAAGAATAGGACTGGTCGTCTAACGCCGGAAGAGTTCAAATCTTGCCTAGTTTCTTTGGGATACTCCATTGGAAAGGATAGACAAGGAGACATCGACTTCCAGAGAATTCTAGCGGTTGTAGATCCTAACAGTACCGGTTACGTACACTTTGATGCCTTCTTAGACTTCATGACACGAGAAAGCACCGATACAGATACTGCAGAACAAGTCATTGATAGCTTCCGTATTTTGGCAGGCGACAAGGTAGGTCAAAATCAAAATTGCAACAACTCTCATTGATTGCTTTGTAGCCTTACATACTTCCCGATGAATTACGACGAGAGTTACCGCCGGATCAAGCAGAATACTGCATCCAACGCATGCCACCATACAAAGGAGGTGGAGGTATCCCAGGAGCGCTTGATTATATGTCGTTCTCCACCGCTTTATATGGACAGTCAGATTTGTAAAGCTTGGGCAGTGGATGTCGTCAAAATTAAACTTGCCTTTCCCTGCCATTTTAAGTTAAAGTGTACAATTTTTGTGTTGTAAATAGGCCATTTAAACTCTGAGGAATTTTACATTGCTCGGCTCTTGAGAGGTCTATTGTTTAGCATTGAAAAAACGACAACTCGAATATTACATATTAGGGTTGAAATCGATCATTAAAATTATTTATTTGTAATTAAGTTGCTAATTATTCTCTGAGATGCTCAATCAGAATTTTATTCACCGTTTGATGTGTACATATTTGATAGCAATCGGCCTTTAATAAATGGGTGATGTTTTCATTTGTTTTAGTTCAAAGGTTAAAAGCTGTACTAAATTTGGTAAGTGCATTTTGTGTTAAAGTGATTACTTGGTTGAAACATCATATATCATACATCAATTTATCATAATATAAATACAGTAAATATTTAAAATTATTTTTATCTGTTTTTTTTTAAAGATTTATGTTCTATGGTCATTCATTATTCTAATGTATGTTATGGAATGCTCTATTCAGAACTTTATATTTCGTAAATTATATCGCTATGTGAATATATTTAATTTTAAAGTAACTTGGTTTTCTTATGGTTTCAATGCAGTTGTCAAATGTTGAGAACCTGACTAAACAGGTCCACGCTTAACGGCAATGCTAAGTTTGCTTTGTTGAATGATGACGATCAAATAGGGACTATTTTAAGGTACCTAAACTACTTCAAAGAAGGTATTATCAACGCTCCGTTTTGTACGTATCAAACTGTTGCTAAATTCAAATCTAATTGTACCCATAATATAATCATGAATTGTACCCAGAGATTATCACTGGAATAATAATAGACTGCTAAGGAGTGTAATGCCAATCACATTGCTCAGTAGATATGGCTGGTGGTGAATTAACTGTCCCTAGGTAGGGACCTTGCCTCGCCTGACCGGGTATAGCATCTCCGAATTAGATTTAGTAACAAGTATAAGTATGGTGTCTACATAAAAAACACATGAACTGTACTTTGGCATTCAGGTGTGGTTACAGGGGTAATCACAATGGACGGGTAGGTAATATGTTTTTCAGAGTAAGTACCTTACAGTCAAAACATGAATTGTCCAGATTCTGATTTTAGATATTTGATATCTTTAGAGGTTTCAACCTGCGATGATGCCCACATTTTGAGAGCTGGCAACTGCGCCACGTTTTAGAAGGAGAAGTGGTCTGCGCTATCTTGAGAGCACCGACGCTCCTTAATATATAATCATCAAGGTTTCTTTTGTAATGGTGATGGTCTTATTCTCTTGTTTATATGTATAATCCAGTGAGTCATTGTCATTTGTACTTGGTTTAATGCTAGTAATTATTGTACCTAATGTCTTGAAAGTTTACTTAAACCACTCTGGATTTGAAAGAGCGGTGTCGCATTTTTATTAGTTGACAGTTTTTCTCGTCTAATTGCTAGGCAACAGATTTTCATTACCTTAACAACCCAAATTTACTCGGTAAAATACAAACCTCTTGTCCAATTATAAATGAAAATATACTCATATTTTGCCACAACTTGTTTCTCTCTTTTGTTTTAAGCTTAATTAACGTTATGCTCCTTGCACTATTTGTAATGAATATTACCTAATATTTAGCAGGGTAAAAGACGCAAATAAGTCACCTGACACTGACAGCAGACCTGTAAAAATTTTACAAGTTAGTAATCTAGTAATTTCATTGGCCAGAATTAATGCGAATTTATGATATTTTGTATCAATTTAAGAACTAATTATTTACGTTTACTATTGTTTACAAATGAGTAACAAATAAAATATTGTACATTATACGCCAGGTAATAGTTTTTACTGGCTGTAGGAGATGACAGGCTCGCCTGACGGCTCGCCAGTCAACTTCTCCTATCGCCAGTAAAAACTCACTTACCTGGCTAATAATGTAAAATACTATTACTCGGTGAATTGCCATTTTTAAAGTATGGCAAATTGCTACGCCTAAACATCACAATTCCTATAATCACTAACATCCACAACGGAAACCTTGCAATGTAATTTATTTCAACTAAATTTTCGAGCTCTCACAATCATTAAACAAACTACAATGTTTTATTTTGCATTTCTTCCCTACCGTACTTGAGATCATAGGAGTGTTTGTCTTAATTGTTTGATCACATGCCACTTTTCGATTTCATATTTAAGCGGGATCCGTTTAGCTTTCGGAGGGGGGAATAGTTATTTGCAAACGTTGCCAGGTGGATTTTATTTACTTCTTATGGTAGTGTGAAGTTAGAGTAGAACCTGGGAGCACGATATCTGTGCTGGGGGTTTAGTTCACTACATACAAACTGAAGTTGATTTTAAACAGTTTTCGATTAGGTATATATAGTAACTCTTAAAAGGATGTCAGGTGACCTTCACTTTTTCAAAATGTGCTTGTTAACAATTTTGCTCGAATCTTTAATAAGCAAAATAATGGTGATGCGTGCAGTCGAATTCATTCATCCAGAAAATCAATAAACTGGCGTGGAACTGTGTCCCAGACACCAGTGATGTTCCCATCAATTTCTTTGAGATTGTATTTGTTCACGGGCCATCCTTTGACAAATTTTTAAAAATCTTATATCAAAAATGCAGAGCCAGTGTTACAAATTTGCAGATTTTGCAGATATTCGCTTGATGTATAATTATCATGTCCAGTGGCGCATTGATTGAGAGTGTACGCTACATGTCTTAAAAATGTTTCAGAGTATACAGCGTATATGGAGTAGGTATACCATATGCGAACACCATTGCCAGGTACCAATCATTAGACATATCACTTTGATACCTATAAGTTCTAGGTCGAATCGAATTGGATTTTAAGAATGGGCGCGCCTTGCCTTTTTTACAGAGTTAATGTCAGCGGGTTGCGAAACCCTTATATCAAATTGGATCGTACGTGAGAATAACCACGCACTATTTTCACATGTCTTAACGCCACCTAAGCTTTTAAAGGTCACGCTCACTTCCAGCAAATTCCCGAAATTGTCCCTGTCATGTATCGTATAGCAAAACGTTGTCGCCCAGTCTCTAAACATGGCAGTAAACTTAGTTCTTGAAGAACACGAGGCAGCAGAGAAGTACGGCTTTAAACTGAGCCCAGAATTATTAAGTACCTATTGATTGTACTGATTTTGCTGTAAGCGCGAATTTAAGAACATTTGCTGCTGCCCACAGGATTTTTTAAATACAGTAGCACAGATATACGTTCTTTACGTATATCTGTGGCACTGGTCACTTTCACGCGACAACAGAAGATTCTACCAAGAAGATACCTACTAGCGATAATATAAAAAAATTGAGGTGCTATATTCTGTTCAGTAAGGAGCCGCTGCAGCATTCTGTAGCAAACGAAAGACAGCTCACGTTGGACTGCACAGAGCTCAAGCTAATAATTATCCATAAAACTCGCCATAGCCTCTTTTGAACAATGGAAAATATACCATAAAACTGGATCAGGTCTTTTTAAATGATCTCAATTCGAGGTGGTGGATGTATAACCAAAGTCTATTCCATAAAAGCATAAAATTGTTTTCAGTTCATTTTACGTTAATGTTTTGTTCCAAAAAACTTTACCTTCTTTAATTGATCCTTCACTCAACGTTTTGAAGTAGTATACCTTGAAATGTGATGTCAAGGTGTAGGTAATTTTTGTCTTGGATAAATTACTGTTTTTTTCGAGGAATAAGATCAAAATTAAAAAAGTAAAGCCAACCATGCAGTTTTGATCTTATGCCTTGAGAAAAACAGTAATTTATCCAAGTCAGCTAACAAGATTACCAAAATTTATGGTGTGTTACAATTACAGGTAAGTAGGTAATTATTCATTCAACAGGGAAGTTTCAAAATATTTATTTATTTAGCTTTAGAACAAATACTAATATGGTTTTTATAAAAAAAATGTAAAAATATTTCCCCTCGGCGAGGAATCGAACCTCGGTCGCCCAAATGATACAATCATGCGGGTCGTACTTACCACTGTACTACCGAGGGTATTGTGTAATATGTCGTTCTTCTGTGTAAAGAGCCAAAAGATTTTTCAAACGGTGCGTATAATAGCTAGCTAATATTTATAGATAACTATTTAAAATATGAAACAATGCAAATAATGTAACTTTTAATATTCATTTTCAAGAATAGGTATACATAGGTAGCGTTTTCCTATTCCACATTCATCAATGCATTAGAGAACTTAGGCAACTTAAATAGCACGTATTAAAAAAGTATTGTTAGAATGGAAAAGCGTGTAAATGTGTAATTTAGACTTAGACTAACGGTATCCAACCCCGTTTTACCACGAATGTATTGCCTTCCCACATTTCATAAACCAGGTAAAGCTATATGGGACCTATTGTGCATGGTAAGTCTTCCTATGCGAAAAATTCAACAATCTCTCGTACCTATCAACAACCAAATTGCAAAGAATCAAAAACGTTGAGATGCCTCAAGGTGAACTTTTAGTATCATTTGGTGTCATTCATTATTTCTTAGGATTCCAGTAGATATTACCAAAATCCACAGATTTGTTTAAATCTGTAATATTAGGTACTATCTAACAAGAAAGAAAACATCGATAAATATAGCATGATGCTACCATATAACGCAACCACTTACTAAGCTATTTCGGTTTTAAAAAATGCGCTTCATCTGCACATTTACCTATAGGTTTTCTAAAATGTTTAAATTTAAAAAATCTCCCTTCCTGTTATTTATGTTATACTTCATTACCACATATGTAACTATCATTTAAGTTAATTAAAACCTGTTGTCCAGGTTTGGTTGTTTATTTCAATTATAGAAAGAAAAATTGCTCTAATTTGACATTTCGATATGTTAAATTCATATTTTATTACTGATTAAGGGCCGGTATTTCCATCTTCGGATAAAGTACTAGATTCGTACCTGCCACATAACTTATACCGCCCGATATCTTCCGTTTATCTATCTGCGAGTATTTCCATCAGCGTGCGGTATAAATATATCCCGTAGATAGCTACCTAACCATAGCCAATGTTGCCGATTTTAGAAGTCTGTAATAGAAAAAAATAGCGAACGGCAGGGCCATATATTAGAGCAAGATAGCTTACTACCTGACAATTTGAACGAATGCTTTTGTTTTGGAAAGAAATTCAGTGACTTGTAATATACTTGTCAAACGTAAATTACAGAATAAGCTTTACTTATGAGTACTCTGAACATGAACCAAAATCGTGATGTAAATGCACCGCGTAGAAAGAAAAGGCTAAGTAATTTCAGCACATCTGAAAATCGTGTGCTTGTCTCAAGAAAATCATGACCCATTTGGAATCTAAAATAGGTTACCTATATCCTTCAAGAAAACATAGTATGTATTTGCGTACTTCTACTTCCATACTTCAATTTCTTTCTTCCTATTTAGTATAGGTACGGTTGGTAAT